TTCTTTTTTAAAATGTGGAAGTTCCCCCAAATCTCAGTCCTATATCTGTGCTTGAAGATTCCATCGGGAAAGAATGCATCTGGAGACAAGTTATCCTTCAATTAATCCCAGAGTTCTTAACTTCTTTGGCCAACCACCTGGCATTTGGTAATCAGAGGCAAGGGCAGTCCTTAGAAGCACAGGTATTGATGTAGTTGGTGAGACAAGAGCCCGGCGCCTTACTGACGAGTTCGCAGAAGGACCAAGTGGACTAGTCACCCAATGGGGAGAGGGTTGTAGGTCACACACAGTACTCTCCGATTATCTATTCATGTTGCTATTTAATAATTTATAACATTATCTGACAGCTGCCTGGCCAACCAACTGGAAGAGATCCAAATTTATGCCTATTCCCAAGAAAGACAATCCAACAGAATGCAGAAATTATCGAACAATATCATTAATATCACATGCAAGCAAAATGTTGCTGAAGATCATTCAAAAGTGACTGCAGCAGTATATCGACAGGGAACTACCAGAAATTCAAGCCGGTTTTAGAAGAGGACGTGCAACCAGGGATATCACTGCTGATGTCAGATGGATCCTGGCTGAAAGCAGAGAATACTGGAAAGATAAATGGAGAAAAGGCTGAGGTTGCCAAGGATTTCATTTTACTTGGATCCACAATCAACAGCCATGGAAGGAGCAGTCAAGAAATCAAAAGACGCATTGCATTGGGCGAATCTGCTGCAAAAGACCTCTCTAAAGTGTTGAAAAGCAAAGACGTCACCTTGAAGACTAAGGTGCACCTGACCTAAGCCATGGTGTTTTCAATCACCTCATATGCATGTGAAAGTTGGACAGTGAATAAGGAAGACAGAAGAAGAACTGACATCTTTGAATTGTGGTGTTGGTGAAGAATATTGAATATACCATGGACTGCCAAAAGAACAAACAAATTTGTCTTGGAAGAAGTACAGCCAGAATGCTCCTTAGAAGCAAGGATGGGGAGACTACATCTCCCATACTTTGGACATGATGTCAGGAAGGACCAGTCAGTCCCTGGAGAAGGACATCATGCTTGGTAGAGTAGAGGGTCACTGAAAAAGAGGAAGACCCTCAATGAGATGGATTGACACAGAGGCTGCAACAATGGGCTCAAGCATAAAAAACAATTGTGAGGATGATGCAGGACCAGGCAGTGTTTCGTTCTGTTGTACTCAGGGTCTCTATGAGTCGGAACTGACTGGACGGCACCTAACAATGACAACGTAATGTATAATAACAATGGCTGTCTTATTTCACCCCCGTGAGGGGCAGACCCCATGCTAAGAGGCTAGACATACATTGTCTCTAGTTGTCAAGTCAACTGTACAAAAGGTGCGCTATTATAAATATTTTATATAGATGAATATTTTAATTTCAGAGAAGTTACATGATTTCTCTAAAGTCACATGGTTAGTAAGTGGCAAAGCCAAGACTATAATCCAGGGCTCTTATGGCTTCAAAATCCTATTTGTCATGCCATGTTACAACTCGCAACTTAGATTTATCTGGTTTCGTTGTTAAAACTATAGCCTAATCAAATTCTGTGAAAAAATACTGTTCATAAATTAAAAACATCAAGTTACTTTTTCTCCTAGAAAAACAACGATCATGTGGGGCCTGTTTGAATACCTATAAAAGTGCACATGGGGGCAGAAGTAGGTGCTCCAGGCATCCTCGACTCCTCCCTGCCCTACTTCATTTCCAGCTGGTCCCCTGGGAAAATCATGGCCCTGGGCTCATCACTGTACGTGATTGCTGAAATGTTTCTCTATTCGCCACTGTTCATTTCAGGGAAAGTTCACTTGACATAAAATGATGCTTAGATTAGTACCCAAACCAAACTCACTGCAGGGTGAGTCTTTCCGACTCATAGCAACCCTGTAGGATGTCGCAACCCCACAGGGTTTCCAAGGTTGTAAATCTTTACGGAAGCAGACTGCCACATCTTTCTCCTGCAGAGCGGCTGGTGGGTTCCAACCGCTGACCTTTTGGTTAGCAGCCAAGCACTTAACCACTGTGCCACCAGGGTTCCTTAGACTAGGACAAAATTGTGAGGGAAAACAAAGCAGGCAGTAGAATTAACGTAAATTTTGAGGTTCAAGGGAACATTGACAGCGGACAGAGTCATTATATTTGAAAGAATATTCTCTCAGTCATTCTTTCTGTCATTTATAGCTGATCTCATTCCAAAAAAGATTTCATGGTGGGATCTGAAGGAAATAAATTTGAATCTGAATTTAACAAGATGTTGATTTACACAAAAAACAGGTAAGGAAAAGAAGAAATACAGAAATAGGTGAAACTGTTCTCAAGTATATTGAAATTGAGAATGGATTTTTTTTTCTATTGCTACATGCTGTAAATTTCAATATAATTTCAATTGTAAACAAATATATATGTCACCAAAGAGATCTGCTTAAGTAAAATAAGCATATAGGGTTCTGTGACTATGGATAAAATCCATAATCCTGGAACAGGATTTATTAAAAGGCTAATAAAACCATTTTCTTTTTACAGTGAAAGTACCAGTGCAGTTGGAAGCCGGTGAGAAGCTTCCGGTGGAGTTAGAGCTCTGGTAACAGCCACTTTGAAGAGCGGTTTTGCGTTTTCACCACTAGAATGCTTCAGTTTTGGAATATGATCCTCTGGAAGTAGAGCAAACTTCCTCTTACCATTGAACTGACAGGTTTCTAAGATAAGGAGAAAATGAAGCTGAAACTAATATTTTTCCCCTCAAATGTCAGAAGGATTTTAAGGAGAAAAAATGGTTTGAATGTAGAATTCCCAGTACCTGGATTTAGAGATATTCCAAAAGAATTAGTTATGCTTGAGACCAATGAAGGGCTACAGTATAAACTATAAATCCCCACATTGACAAAATATAAATAGGGATAAATTCCTAAAGCCAACTGCTTACTTTGTTAAGTATACGAACATTTTTGAGGTAAAGAGCTAAAGAAAAAATTTAATGAGGAAGTCGTAGAAACCAATGTTTTGTTTAATAATCTACAGTCCCCAAAGAGATCCATCAGTCTTTACCCAGGTGTACTGATTCTTCTTTATAGGTTTCCTTGAGGATGAGGGGGATTCTAATTGTCTTTTGCACATCACTGTTTTTCTTCTTTTGTATATGGATACAAAATGATGCTTCAATGTAAGTTCTAGATTCTACTGTGGCAACAACAGCATTCATTTATAATACAGTGTTGTGCTAGCCACGGACAACTGCCAGACACTCCAGCAAGGAACGGGGACACGTTTCAGCACACATCTTCCGTGACGGACAAGTACAGAAACAAATGTCTACATAGGAGAAAAGTGACGGAGAGGCAACTTCCACCCACGGTAAAATGGCGATAGTATTAGTATATACGTCATAGTTTCTGTGAGGGTTATTTAGGCAACACCGTGAACCCCACACTCCAAAAACGCTGGCTAATTCCTGAGACTGCTGGGGAGTGGCTGTTCTCTGATGTGTCTGTTTCTTTATTAAATCTGTCTCTACATATCTCTCAGGTTAACCGGAATGTAAACACAATGGGTGAGCTCCAGGTTTCTTTTCACGGACCTTCACTGGCACAATGAGCACGCGTGGAATCATTCTACAACTGCATGGATATTTGATGTTGCTATATAGCGAAAATCTGAATTACAAAAGAAAAATATTGAAACAAGTATTTTCCATAAAGCAGGGATGCTGTTACTAAAATGTTCTGGGGGCAACAAGACTCTGTTATAAAAACCAATTTTTACTTTCCTGAAAGAGCAACCATCTTGTGTAAATGTCCACTCTGACATTACAGCTCCTTGACTATTTTGGAATGGATATCAGCTTACTCCACTGCCAAGTATTCTTAAGCTCCCATAATGCCACTTACTAAATATGCATACAGTTCTAAACATGTAAGTAGGTCCTACTTATTGAAAGACAGCTGAAGACTTTCTGAGAATTCCATGATTTCCTAAATAGTCTAGGCCTGATTAAGCCGAATTTTAATACCACTTATGGAAAAACTCCCAACAGTGCATTTGTTTGTGGTGGGAGCTGATGTACACTCGGCTTCTTGGGTTGATTGTTTTCCTGAATGTACAAAGAGCAGATCATGTTGCAAAATTTTTATGGAGCGTTCCACTAAATTCTGAACATTTTTACATGGCTGTCAGGAATTAACTTCAAATGTTGACTTACACTGTCATGTGAGAAGTGTGGAACTTCAAAGTTAGCAACATAAAAGGAAATTGGATTCACATCGTTTCCAGAGGCACATAAGGGAAGTCACACTCTTGAGAGAACAGAAGAACATACACTGCATGCCAAGATGTTACCCAAAACCTGAAAATACTCTGGGTAAAACAGACTCACAGGAACCCCTCAATGCTTTCCAAAGCTTACAAAGTAATATTTAAAAAATATGAATGGATCAACATATATATTTTTAATCAGTACTCACCATCAAGTAAGTAACTACAAATGATCTATTTCCTATCTTTTCTAGAAACAAGAGAACATATATTAAAACTGTCTACACCACTTGCCCTAGATTTTAATAATTTTGCTTAAAAATTGATCTTAAATCAATGAATAAAAACTGACAGTGAGATTTTAACAGGAAGTATCTAAAGCAGAATTATTATCAAGAAAAAGGACAAACTCAGAACTTACTAATGTATTCAAAAGACTATTAGAAAATTTTATAATTATTGGAAGATTATAGAACTGCTTCAGTGCATCTGTATGGAGTAAGCAAGCTGTAAGCAAGCTGTACGTGTGAGGGGTAACAACTGAACTTGCTAATTTTACTGTTTCCCTTGGGAGTAGCAGTAGAAGGGGTGGGAGTCACGCTACTGAGATCTCCAGTGGATCCTGGTTTATGTGCACCAATAAATCCTAAATGTGCTGCTAATTAACTCTACTTTAAACCACTCCCTTTTCTGAGGGCTTGGAAGACAGTTTGCATCCTGGGAGAACTCACAGTTCATATTCTTGAAGATGTTCAGGATGGGGAGGATCTGACGGTAATAGGGCACCAGTGCTTCGCCCACCATCTCAGCAGACACAACCAGATGCTGAAGGATTTTGAGCGTGACGCAGATGACCTGTCGGTTTCGGAGGTTCAGAGCATCTACATTGTAGGAAAGGGAACGAGCAGAAAATAGAGGGCATTAATTTCTACAGTGTTAAGGAGAAGTCATCTCCTGGATACATTTAATTAAACTGGACTCTGTTGGGGATTGCCAACGGGCCTTTATTATTAGTTTCAAATTGTAGCCCTAATGTTATAAACAGTATCTTGTTTGTGTTATTTGCTGTCCTGACTGGTACTGATTCAGCACCATCCCTCACAATGCAGCTCATTTTTACCAGATGGCCGTTGGTCTGACAGGGGTAGATGGGTAACTAGTATCTGAGAGAAGAAGATCAGTGAGTATCCCTGGAGTGGGCCCCCCATCCCCGACTCAAGACAGCAGTTAACAATGACAACGACACGAAGACTGACAACAGATACGTTTTTATGCAATCATCTCTTTCCTTTAACGATCCATGCTATCCTTAAAACCATTACAATGAAGCAAATGTTTATTTGGGAAGGGAGCTGGGCGTTGTGTGTGTAGAAGCTACAGGCTGGTTACAAACACTGAGAATATTCTTGGTAGAAGTGAACATAAAGTGACAATATGTAGACTCTCAAGAAAGGAGGGAAGAAAAGCAAAACTTATGAACGTTCAGAACTTCAGAAAGGATCAACAGTAATAAACTATAAGAGACCAAGGGAGTCCAAAAGAGTGTACAGACAATTCTGAACACACAGGAACAAACTGTGCCAAAGATTGACTGTGCTCCAGAGGGAAACGCAGAAAGCCAGGGACCAGGACATGTGACTCTGGAAACACACCCTCAGTCCTGAGAACCTGCTGCTGACTCTGTAACAGGGCTGCAAGGTCATGTTCGTGATTTAAGTAGGAGAGCCACAGAAAGCATCTGTGAGAGAAGGTAAAGGTGAGGATTAGTAAATTGTGATTCTCCAGACCCCTGCAAACACAGTCAAATGCTCTTCTTCATGGGATGGTCCACCTTCTCACAAAGAAAGTTGACTAAGACCATGAGTATGTATCATTTATGCAGGGATACAGGATGCAACAAGGGGCTCAAACATACTTACTATTGTGAGGCTGGCACAGGATTGGGCAACACTTCATCCTGTTATATGTAGGGTCACTACGGAGCTCTGGTGGTGCAGCAGTTAAGAGCTTGGCTGCTAACCAAAAGGTCAGCAGTTCGAATCCACCAGCCGCTCCTTGGAAACCCTATGGGGCAGTTCTACCCTGTCCTGTAGGGTCACTATGAGTTGGAATCCACTCGATGGCAGCAGGTGTGAGTCAGAGGTGGCTCAATGATACCTAACAACAACGACCACGAAGGATGCCACCCCCTTCAGCAGACCTGGTCAGGTGGTCCTGGCCTTGAACTCCAGCTCACATTTCCAACAGTCCGGATCTTGCCAACACCTCAAATTCAGTTCGTTCTAAAGATAACTTTTCCACCATAAGCTTGCTCTTCTCTCTCTGTTCCCCACAGTTAGTAATGGTACAACCAGGTACGCAGGCAGGCAGAGCCTCTCACCCCTCCTCTCCCTTCTGCTGTGGGATCACCTGGTTCTGCCTCCACTTCATTGCTGGAATTTGTGTCCTGCCCTCCAACCTCCCAAGCGCTCGTCTGGTCTGACCCCCGGGACTTGTCCACTGGCCTGAAGCCACCCTCCTATCAGATCTCCCTTCTTCTGTCTTTCTCACCTCCCTCAGCCTTCTTTTCACGCCTTCCAGAGCAGGTCTGATGGTCACACCACCCGCTAAATAAAAGAGCTCAAAGTCTCCCCGTCCCACACAGGACAGAGCATAAACCAGCAGCACGGGGAGGCGCTCAGTGTAAGTCTGAGCTGAACCAAATTCTGGGTTAGAAAGCCGAGAAGATAACGTACCATTTAGTGGCTTTGAAGCAATTTCCTCCGGAATCAAGAGGAAGTTCTCTAAAATAAACTATGGTCAGCTTCATCTCCTCCAGCCACAAGACAGGGCTGGCGGCCCCATAACTTCTGGTCCAGCCTGGAGTTCATTCTTGTTTGGTTTGGAGGTAAACACAAGTGGAGTGAAGAGGGATGGCTCAGCCTTAACCCGAAGACTCACCCGAGATATGACTACAGAACTCGGTAGGGCAATGGCTCTTCATTATGGCATTTAGACACACTGCGGGCCATGGTGTGCCCTCTGAGAAGCAACTGAAACTAGAAGGCTATAAATTAGCTTAAAGTTGTAGTAATGACCTGTTCCAGAGCAAAGCCTGAACGGAAGATGGAGAAAGAAAAGTGTGTGTAGGGTGCTGTACAGTTGGTAGTGGGGGGGTGGGGGTGGAGGATTTCTGGTCTTACCCAATTTAAAAGCTATTTTGGTCTTTTCAGGAAGCCAGAAACTAAAAACCCTTCCTACTGACCCAGCTCAGTTTAACAAAACAGAACTGCCAGCCTGCAGAAATGTTGCTCTGAGGATTGTGGGCAGAGGTGCTCTTTCCAAAGGTCTATGGAAGATCAACATGCTTAGGTTTCAGAGCTTCCCAGATCCATATGAGGGTTCCTAATATTGATGGCAAACATACTAAGCACCGCTATCTTCCAGGAATCAAATTGAATAGTTTACATATATTAGCTCACTGAATCTTCATCATCAAATATTTACTGAGACCATATTATGTGCTAGTAAGTGTTCTAGGAAATGGAACTACAGAAGTGAGCAAGACAGGTATGCCACCCATCCCCATAGGACTTATACTATGGAAGAAGGTATTGGACAAATAATACTAGTGGGATGAAAATTCCTAGGAAGGATAGGGTATATAAGCAGCAAATCAAAGGGGGCACCTAACCTAGCTTAGAGATCAGGGAAGGCTCCAGATGCAGGCACAGACCCAAGGGATGAAGAGATGCTATTTAGGTGAAGAGTGTCCCAGGACAGGGAACGGCATGTTAGGATGGGTCTCTCCAGGAAAATGGAATCCTCCTTTTACCACAGGGTCTACTCCAGTGCCTGTGGATGAGGCTCTACTTAGGAATTGGGGTCAAAGCCCAAGAAGGTAAAGAGATATTCTTCTAACTGGCTTTACCATTGTGCATATGTCTTTCTTGGTATCGTTTGGAAGTGGTGGGAAGAAGTGTGTGGGTGTGCATCAAAGGAGGGGGAAGATCCCTAGGTCTCACCGTGCCTTATCAACCAAACAGAATCAGATGTTTAAGATCCTTTAAGGTGAATAGTTTTTGCCTTTTCTCTCTAGTCATCCCTCCCTCCCCGCACCACTCCTTAGAAAGAACTCATAGTCACATCTAGCTAAATGTTTTATAAACTGCTTAAGGGTAAGACACTGAAAACAGAGCCACATCGGTGTAATTTGTAGAGTTTATTATTTTTTTAATGTAAAAATGACTGAGTAATTGAGTGCATATAGTTCTCATTCTATTTTATGGGTTTTGTCTTTTTCAAGAAAGCCTTTCTGTTGACACTACAAAGTCGCAAGAAGGCGAACCTATTGAAGGTACTAGAAGAGATAGTTACTGGAACATGGATAGTCTGCAGCTGATGATTACAAAAAAGATTTTGGTAGCCATAAACCAGTTGCCACCGAGTTGATTCTAACTCATGGCAACTCCAACTTGGAAATTCAAGTCTATCCACAAGTGCTTCTGAAGAAAGGCCTGGAGATCTGCTTCTGAAAACTCAGCATTTGAAAACCCCATGAAGCACACTTCTACTCTGCAGAGTCAACTCAATGCTCTTGCATTTCAACTCAATGGCAACTGTTTTAACATCATCCAAGGGGGATTTTTTTTTTTTATACTGCCCATTTCCACTTCAGTGCCTCTACTTTTCTTCTTCATTATCAAGGAATTAAGATATACCATTAATTTTGTTACCAAACTTTTATTAAATTTTTTTTTTTTTGATAGCATGTGTTTTCAGTATTGGAATGCATGCTTACTAATTGAGTGTGTTTAAATTTTTGATTGGTAATGTGGATTTTGAGAAATATGAACTGGAAATGCAAGCCACCAATAACATGAGTGGCACTGTGGTGCCACCCATCTGTGGTATGACAACATACCATTAAGAGCTATATAGAGAATTCATCGCAGGCACCTTTCTTTTAGGTTACAAGGGGAACCTCTGGTTTTCCAAATACGACACAGAAAAACCAAAACAAACTCATCAGGGCTCCCTAACTATCACACAGGAAAGCCATAATCATGCCTGCAAGCCTTATCTCACAGAAATAAAGGAAAAAAAGGCAAAAGTTTACAAAAATTTACAAAACTAACACATCCAAGGAGAATCACGGAATAGAACATTCAACCTGCACAACAAGGAAGCTCTAACTCTGGTCTGCTGAGCTTCACGCATTTCAGAAGGGACTCACCTTGACACTAAACGCTTTAGAATCAGATTAACATACTAACTAGGAGGTCCAGAGGCATAAAAAGTGCCCCCTTAGGGTTTCCAAAGAGTGGCTGGTGGGTTAAAACTGCAGATCTTTTGGTTAGCAGTCAAACGCTTAACCTCTGTGCCACCAGGGATCTGCAAAAAGTGGCTGGTAAACCGTTAAACCAATAGGAACTAAAGAGTTAAGTTGGAAGTCTTTCTGATCTTACTTACCTAACAAAGAAAATAGAGGATTTTTCTGGAAACAGAGTTCTTTTCCTTTGAAAAAGTATGTGAACAGATATAAAGAGAATATGATTCTATAGTTTGAAAGAGAAGAAATGTGTTTATTCTCCTGTTGACGGACCTGAAAGCTATTGTCAAGACACAAGCGAGGACTCTGAACTCTAGATTTAAGGTCTGGAAAAGGGCCTAAATGAAGCATCAACTGACATTGCAGTGGAACCTTTCTATTCAAAACATGGGATTTCTATTGTACCGCTTTTACTGCCTTCAGGGATAATCAACAAGATAGAGTTTCCAGATACACAGAAACTGCTGAAGAATGGAGAAAACATAATTTAAAGTCAAAGTGGTAAACCGTATTCATCTTAGATGGTTACAAGTTACATGTATGACTTTCTCAGGCATAAAACCCATTATC